AACCGTGTAACCTGAGCATGAAGTTATACCTGTGAAAAACTATGAAACAATGTATTTGAAAATCAGGTAAAGCATGTATACATTTACATTGTAACATTGTTTAATTTCGCTTTGTAAGGCACTTTTTAACTTCCTAACAAGGCACTGTTCCACTTTCCTGTTTTGACGTGCCTCATTTCCTTCTACGTTCATTTCCCGCAGGAAAAAATATTAGTGAAACTTCGATTATCCGTCAATCTCTGTATCTTTATCGAGGCGCACTAGACGGTTAACAGAAAATCTACCATCATCGGAACCACCAGTTAACAGCAATCGATAACAGTTTTAGCGCAGTATTTTGTATATTGTATAGTAAGAATGAAAGGCCATCCTAGAATTGAAAAGTGGGAATATTATATCTCTTTAGCTTGCTTATTGTTGCATAATGTAAAAACATCATATTTAAAACAAATCCAAAGCCGTTTTCAGCCAAAATACGATCAAATGTCGTTTTAGGATACTTTAATTATCAACTTAAAAATAAAATGTAGAATTGTGTTCTTACCTATTACAGTAGTTAAAAGGTATACATTTTATTTATAAATATAGACTATAAGGTATTTTCTCCATCCTTTCTGCATGCCTTCCTAGTGTAACGGTAGCATACTCGGCGCGTATTCAATAGGTCCAGGTTCGAGTCCCGGCGAGTGCATTGAACATTTTTCATGTCTCCTGCTTCAAACTAACCTAATGACTTTACTAAGGCTCCCGAACTAAAAGGTGCTGGATGTTGATTCTTCACCGCGAGGATTGGGTGATTGGCCAGCCTAATCCCCAATCTCCTTTAAAAGGGGGAGTATATAAGGTATTATCTCTCTCCTTCCAGCATGCCTTCGTGTTGTAAGGGTAGCACGCTCGGCGCGTATTCGAGATGTACAGGTTCGAGTCTTGGCGAAGGCACTGCTACCTACTTCAAAAATTCTAATGACTCTACAAGACCATTCTAAATTAAGAAATTTTATGTTATTGTATTTAATTTTACTTCCTTGTACGAAGTAAAAGGAGTATCGTAATCTCGAAGATTTCGGGTATCATATTTCAATGAAGATACGCATTTTAACCGATCCTGAATCCATTTGGACTATTTTTTTTGCATGACGTCTGTACTTACGGTAGTTACTTACTCTAGTAGATTAAAGGACCCGTTTGTATTACAAAACGGATTGTAAAATGGATTCAAAGGGGATTTTTCGAAAATGGATTATAAATTGATTCAAAATAGATTTCTTCGTGACATCTGTATGTACTTATGTATTATCACGAATAAAACTATTAACTGAGAGCGCTGAAATTTTATATATGGGACTGCTATAGCATCTAGTGTTTGCACCTCCCGTTTGTATTACAATCGGCAGTATCAAATATATATATATATATATATATAAATTTAAACAAATTTAAATTCTTAACAAATACGTATAAAAGTAAAAAAGTAAAAAGCAAATTTAAATTCTAAAAAAGGAAAAAAGCCAAAATAATTTAAAATAATTTAAACATATGCAACATGTAAGATTTAATTCTCGAACTAATTTTTTTAATTAAACTCAATTTATTCTTATATATATATAATATATATATATATATATATTATATAATATGAATACATACACATATTTACACGCCCATTCCCTTATCCGGCCTTTATTTTCGCAGTCGTTGGTCATAGTTATATACTTTAAATTACAGAAGTGTTTAAAATGACGAAAATATTCACATTTTGACAACGCCAAATTAAAAACCTAAATAATTATCGACAACTAAGGAAATCGAACTGTCAGTGCGATCTCCCGTTTCCTATACTTATATTTGAAAAAGTGTTATACTCGGTATGGAAAAATAAAATTTTAAGAAATTTTATTCTCGAACGACAAAAATTGATCGGGATATTTAATTTGAAAATTTGTAATTTTTGATGCAATTTTCAACTTGCCTTGAGGAACCGGTTAATTAAGTTAGAATAATTCGATGATGTACGTTTAAATGTATTGCAGTAAAAAATGCGTATAATTAAATAGGTCATACACGAAAGTCATGTGGTGGCCGCATCAAATTTTCATTTCATTTTTTTTTTTCATTCATCGGAATGTTTCAGTACTGTCGCAAGCTAAAAATGTCGCTTAAAAGTGTTACAGAATAATGAAGATCCTACTATACTATGCAATTGAAAATGATATATTAGGTCAGAATTCTATAGAAATGAGATTATTATTTTGTGATGTGTTGATTTTGTTTTTCAGTTCACCTTCAATATTTTGTTAATAAAATTTTCTCATCTCTGTCATTCATTATTAGTTTTAAATTTCAAATATCTAACAAAATGTCCAACTCCTGTTATGTGTTACAATATACTTTGCCGTAGCCCAACCGGGATAGTGCTTAGTGACTCTAACTGCCGTACCGAAGGGCCCCGGCTCGAATGCCGGAGAAGGCATGGATGTTCGTAAATGTATAGTGTTTGTGTGGCATGGGGCACTCTAAACATATAGCGAACCGAAAATCTTCTCGAGAGATTGTTGATAAAAAAAGAGAGGTGGGAGACCCTCGGACTCGTCCTCGGGGGTAGCTGTCTTTCAAAATTGGGGGCGAAACTAAGCAAAGTCTTACCGTCACCTGTATGGTGCTCAAGGCTCTTGCCAACGACAAGCACAATCTTGCACTCCTTGCCACGAGGAATTTCGTGGCTTGTTCTGATATTACTGTCAGACAACCGAGAGAGATATGTCACAAAAACAACAGCAATAATATATTTTGCCTAACATAGACATGCTTTAAATCAAAGTCTCTAAAACATTGAAGTCTTAGCTAAAGATGTAATTTCATTAAGACTACTTTATACACAGAAATCTTGACGATCGTCCACTGGTAATCAAATTCGGGACTTTCTATTTGCTAGTACACTATAATATAGGATGCTTGTTATCGCATATTTAGAAAGCGACTGAGAACGAGAGATGAGATTTAGTCAATTAAATGAAGACCGGTACGCGTTATCACTGAAAACATTCGAACGCCTGGTAAGTTACCAAACTTTTTGGTGAGCAGAAATCTTGAAAAATCTACTGTACTTTCCCTGCCTGTCGAATTTGAGGTCTCCTAAATACTAACCGGATGTACTGGCCATCACGCTACAAGAAAACACGGGAATAATAATTATTATTAGTCCAAAGGGATTTCAGTCCCGAAGGACTATTGCTTTCGTTTTGGCATTTTGCGTCGGACTCATAAACGTCGGTTCACTTTTCAAACTGTTGCCACAAAATGTTAGAGTCCTGCATTATATTTGAAGAAATTAAATAATGAAAAATCTGCATAAATGATTGTCTATTTCTCGCATTGTGATAAAACAATGGTACATAGAGCCATCGAATTTTGAATGACGAAATCCTACTTGCGAATATGGGCATCTGAAATCCCAAATTTGGAATTTGTTTATTATAGATTTATATTTTGTAAAACTTTAACGAATTTTTGATTTACAAACTCAATGCTTAAAAGCGAGAAATGGCAACGTTATATAGAAAAAAAAATACTTTTATCTCCAGCTCGCGAGACTGTTGTATATCGGAAATTCTAAGATATGCTTAATTTAACATTATTTTGCGATATTGCTCTTGAACTGAATTTTATGTTTTTAAATGCAAAGACATGATATTTAATAAATAAAGGTAACACTCAAAACGTTAAAAAAACGCCCCTTTGGACGTAATTTAAAATCTGAAAAATTTCAGATTTTTTTTAAAGTAGTTAATTGCATTAATAATTACATTAATATATTACAATGAAAATAAAGTCATATTAAATTTAGTGCATATTAAAAACGTTCCTGAAAACTGTTAGCTGTTTTCTAAGACGTCTAGGTATCCTTTACAGTATTGCAGCTTCTACGTTTACTGTAATGCTGATAGCAAAAGTAAAAAAAAAAAAAAAAAAAAGTTTAAATGCTATAATTTTACACTGTATTCGAGTTCTGTGAATACAAATTTGAGTTTGGTATATTTTATTAAACATTTTGTGTAGTGCTCCGCTCCTTAATGCTCTATGCAATGAGTTGAACGTTTGGGATATTTAATATATATATATAAAAAAAAAATAAAAAAAAAAATCTGAAATGTTTCAGATTTTAAATTACGTCCAAAGGGGCGTTTTTTAACATTTTGTGTGTTACCTTTCTTTATTAAATATCATGTTCCTCGCACTTAAACCATAAGATCCAGTGCAACAGCAATATCGCAAAATAGTTTTAAAACGAGCATATCTTTAGAATTTCCGATACAGAGACTCACGCGCTGGAGATAAAAATGTTTTTCTGCACAACGTTGCCATTGCTCGCTTTGAAATCCTTGAGTTTGTTAATCAAAAATTCGTCAAAGTTTTTAAAAATAGGAAATCGATCATAAAACAAATTTCAAATTTCAAATTTGGTCTTCCACATGCTCATATTCGTTGGAGGATTACGTTATTCAAAATTCGATGACTCTATGTACCGTTATTTTATGACAATGTGAGAAATATGCATACATTTACGCAGATTTTCATTACTTAATTTCTTCAAATATAATGCAGGACTCTAACATTTTATGGCAACAGTTTGAAAAGTGAACCGACATTTATCCGTCCGACGCAAAATGCCAAAACGAAACTAATAGTCCTTCGGGATTCAAATCCCTTTGGACTAATAATGTAACACTGACTACCATGTGTATGTTTCACAGGATGAGGCATCGAAATTAATTTTTGAACATAACTTAAAATTAAAAGTGATTTACTTGTACAATAAAATACAGTAAAATTGTTGATTTTAGATTAATGAATACTGTCAAAATCATGCTTTTCATTTTTATGTGCAAGTTTCGACCTTCCGATAAAAGATGGCGCTGCTACCGTAGGTTTTCATGCTAGAAATAAACCCTCATCAAAGAGAGTTGGGAGAACTTCCAACAGATTTTGTTCGAGTTGTTGGTTTTGACGGGACAGCTCGTTCGAACGCTGAATTCTAAGTTATGTTCAAACTTTTTTCTTTGTGGATTCATGCCACTGACGGAAGGTAAACAGCTTCAGGAATGGGTATGTTAACTGCATTTATTTTTCCTGCCTTTAGAGTTTGCAAATAATTTTTAGTAAAACTTTTCGCCCAAAATCAATCATTTAGTTCAGTAAGAATATATTATTTAGTGGAAAATAATTTTTAAAACTTCAGTGCTGAATTATTTGGTACTTTTGAGCTAGCATTTTCGAGTGAAAGGGAAATGATTTTAGGTCTCTGCTTTTTCTTCATTTGTTAAATTCAGTTTATGTAATAAATAATAAATTATTTTGGTAAATTAAGAAATACATTAAAGCGCTTTTCTAGTATTGTGCATTTTCTATTATATTTTGTACGCATAGTTTTGAAGAATTAGAAGAAAAATATTTTTAAAATTTAAAAACAGCTGAAAACAATTTTAATCCATGTAAGTAGGCTCATAATACACTCACGTGTTTTACTTCTTCGGGAAACTTTCAAGAAAAATATCATTTTAAACATTACTGCTAATAAACAGCTCTATTAATGATAACTTATCTTTAATAATCTGGAAATATGATACTCGATTAATTGCTTCTAAATTTTGTCTTGGGGAAAAATTAATCCCATGTGTATTACAAATGAAAACATAATACAACCATTAACAAAGCTAAAGATTTTTTAAAATATTATATCATTTTTGTTGTTATTTTCCTCAGCGCAAGATCACCACTTACCTGTACTACAGAACATTGTATTGCCTTTTGTTCTATTTATTTTAACTTCCAAAATGTTTCTTTTAATTGATTTAATTTAAATTGTTTGCAGTTGATTATTAAGTGTTCTACAAGTTCTACTAGGACATTCGAATCATTGAATTCCGTAAATCTCGAAAAGGATATGGCATTCCAAAACTCGAATCTCCGCACTGTTTCTTCATTCGAATCATTCCACGTCTGTCTTAGAAACGGTTAAACGTTTTAATTCAAAATATTGCAAATAGTGTAGTAATATTAAATTTAAATTAAGATATTTAGAGAGAATTTTGTATACACGTCTAACATTTATTTCTTGTAATTCTTGAAGTACTTCTACCGCTCTATACTCGCTTTAATTAAAAAATATTCTGAAAAATCTTAAAACATTTGAAATATTATAAATATATTTTTGGCAAATTGCTTTTCGAAGATAAACTCGAGATTTTTAATTAGGTGTTTCTTTGAAGTACATTTCATTTCCATTTTTTTACTAAGTGTACTTTTAAAAATTGCATTTTTAATTTGCCTTTTGATTAAATAGAGGTTTAAAGTATCGCTGTAATTAAAAACCTTTATTACTGATAAAAAATTGTCTTTTTCTTTTGATTCTTATTATATTTGTTTGAATGATTCATGATTCATAAGATTCGAGAGAATCGAAAATATTTCATTATTCGGTTCGACAAAATTTAGGAGCCGTTCCAATTCTATTTTCTACAATTTAAGAACAGTCTGTATCAGCTTTATCAGTTATTGAACACTTTTAATGTGTTGAATAACACATTAAAAGTGAACATGGAAGACACAAACAGTACGTAAAGAGATGATATGAAGGAATATAACAGAATTTATAAAGCTTGTGGAACTTATATATCTATAGTTCATTAATCGATTTTGCAAAAGTGATGTTTTCTGTCCAGGACGGAAGTTGATGGGGTATTTGTAAAAGAAATTTGGGAACTACTCTGATATGCGCCCTCGAGTGGCCACATTTCTCGCCAAACATTTTTGGCGAGAAACTTCACAGCTCCATTTTACTATTTAAATTTTTTGTCGACATTTCGAACTTTAAGCCTAAATGTCTCCAAAAACGCGGTTTTCGCACATGCAAAAACCACGTTTTGAACACACAATTTAAGCTAAAAATCCAAAACAAAAACAAAAAATTTAGATAGCAAAAACGTAAAGTTTCTAACCAAAAATACTTGACAAGAATCCATGTACACAGCGATATGTTTTAACTTAAAAAATATCTAAGAATTGCAAAATATAGGCAGCGAAGGAATCTACGAACTACGCACACCTCGCTTTAATAAATTAACATAACAACAATAAATTTCAAAGAATATGTACACAGCATACTGTTTAAACTTAAAAAAAATCTACGAATTGCACAATTTAGGCAACGAACGAATCTACGAACTACTCACACCTCGCTTTAATAAATTAACATAACAACAATAAATTTCATAGAATACCATGTACACAGCGTTCTTTTTCAACTTTAAAAAACATCTACGAATTGCACAATCTAGACACTACGCACTAATCAACAAAATAAACTAAAATAAATTTCAAACAATTAAAAAAAACAATAACGACAGAAATTCATTCTAAAAAAACAATGAGCATGACATTCTACAAAATAAGAACAAGAATAAAATAAAATGCACTTACCATGAATTAATGCTTTTTCAAACAGCAGAAATACCAACATGCCGACACGTAATCACTATCGTATTTATATGACAGCCAGACACACTATCTAGAAAATTCATACTATGGTTCACAAAGAATAAAATCACAAATCCCTACTTCTATCATGCACTGCCATTAAAAATAATCTCCCAGACCCTCTTTTCACTCCTCCAAACACCCACTGCCCCTCAACAGGATGGCCACAATGATATTTCTTTTTGCCGAACTTCAATTCAACAACTTCCACCAGTTTATCTTCCCCCACCCCTATCTTCTCAGACACAGACGCGAACCAACGTGCTCCAGCGAAAGATTTTTCAATGTCAAGAGGGTTGCCATACAACACGCAGTCGCTCCAAAAACTATCTCAGAACACATATCCCCACATTTGGTTAGTTTTACGATGGCTCGGAAATATACGCAGCTAGTGGAAACCGTATAAGGTATTTCTTTCACCTTCTTAGCATGCCTTCGCAGTGTAGTGGTTAGCACGCTGGGCGCGTATACCAGACATCTGTGGTTCTATTCCCGGCGAGGACGTTGCTCATTTGTCATCATTCCTGCTTTAAAAATAACCTAATAAATCTCGAATTTAGACTTTCCCCATATAATCAATGTGAAATACGGTACGATAACATCGCAGCATACGAGGAAGTAAAATTGAAGAAGTTCATAATTATTTATATACAAAAAAATTATAAATAAAAGAAATAGACCAGGTTGTTATTATTTTTATGTTTTGTGCTATTTGGAAAACTTCCTCTGAAAACTTAGGAATTTTCCATAATTTGTTTATTTTTAGTTTTAATTAAAGTAAGTTGTTTATTTAATGATTAATTAAACATATTACCGTTATTTAAAATAAATGTCAATCTGAAAATTTATATTTCGTTGCAAATATTTTCGAATTACCAACATACAAATATTTCCTAAAGGTACCAAATTTTTGATTTCAGATCGGAAATAAATATAAATTTGATTTTTTCCCCTGCAATATTGTTTTTAAAGTATGCTTTAATAAAAATTTAAATTAAAATAAACTAAACCTTTTTTAGAATTCCTTGGTATAAGTTTGGTACCATACTGAAGAATAATAATGCTTCCCAAACTTTCACTAAATGATGATGCCAACGTTGACTGTGGTAGCTATTCTCAAACTTCAGTAGAAAGGAAAATGAGTGAGTTTTCACTTTACGATTTTCAGCAACTAAGCTTTCTTCAGCATTGAACTGAGATGCATTGCTTTAAACATTCATCAGGCCTAATGTATTTCTATTTTATGTACTCGTGTGTGTGTGTGATTATGGCAAAGCCTCGAGGGCTATCTGCCTAAGAGGAGGGATGCCTTCGTGGAGGACTTTCTAAGGGGAAACTGGCTCGTATACACGTTACACATGAAGAAAACCACGAAAACGACCATGCAGCCAGCCCCGTTCGCGGGATTCGAACCTCGGACCGAACTACCAGTGTTCAGCTACTTTACCGCTCGGCCGCTAATGGGCCTATTTTATGTACGTTATACGTTAACAAGTACCTGTGCAACCATTTAGTATTCACAATTTTTAATTCCGATAGTCACAAATTAAATGAGACATTTAAAATTATAGTGTTAAAATATTTTCCCCGAGTAGGCTATTTCAATTCTTTTAAATATTTTGAACATGTTTAAGATAGATTAGACTGTGATGTAGAATATGTTTGATGTATTAAATGTATTTTCGATTTACGATATTTTTTGTTCGCATGTATTTATTAGGAGGTAAGCTCATAAAATCGAAGAATGCTCTCTTTCTCTCTGTATATATATATAATTCATAATAATTTATACTAAGAAATTTTTCCATATACCAGTCTCCAAGGAATAAAAATTCAATTTAAAACTATGAATGAAAAAAAAATTAGTCAGAATTTAAATTAGTATTTAAGTAGTAATTTCAATCTCCTTGTTTAAAACAATCTGCTAACAAAAATCGTTAATTACAAAAACACCAATAATTATTTTATTTCGAATTATTAGCAAAATAATTTCTTTATTTTGAATTTATATATGTATAAATTGTGTAAACCTATTCTACTCTAAAGCTGCAGGATTGAAGTAGAATAAACTTAAAGCATCTAAATTTATTATAAACTGGAATAAAAGCAAGGCATTTCCTCTATAATATAATAACTGCGACCGTCTATAAATGGTTTAATACAATATCAAACAAATCCAATTAATGAATTCATATTAAAACAAACTCGAAAAATAAAAATGCGAAAGGAAAATATGCAAAATTATACAAATAAAAATGAATCTCCTTTTATTGAAACTCCAATTCAGAACTCATCAGGGAAAATTGAATTAAATGGCAATTAAAAAACACAGAACTTTACATGATATACATTAAAATTAAAAAAAAAAAAAAAATTGGTGTAAAACCAATATATGCTAATCCGAAATTCAGCAAGTATAAATAAAGAGCAAAACTAATAGTCATTTAAGCAAAACTGAAAACTTGGGAGTTCCCCGATTATGCTAAACTAAGGTTTTAATACCAAGAAAACGAAAAACTGTACATATAGCTTTCTATAAATATAAAAAGTTAAATGTGAGCCTTGAACAG